TATCGATCAACAGAAATGTCCCCAAATTTTGTGATCTAATGCATGTTTATAATAAATTTGAAGATCATTTTTTGGGATTTTAATATGAAAAAAGGTCGTTGAAGAACTTATTTTTTGCATTACACCTTTTGGTCTAAGTAAACCCAAGTATTTAATTAGCATAAAAGCAAGCTCTGAAACTCTACTTACACATATGCAAATTTCATTTTTATGTATGCGTTTGTTTTAAAAGAATCGTAATTCAAAGCTAACAAAGTTGTATATTATCACGTGAGTAATCGACATTATATGATTGGCGATTTGTGTCAATTACTCACGTGATAATATACCACTTCGTTAGCTTTGAGTTACGATTCTTTTAAAACAAACGCATATATAAAAATGAAATTTGCACATGTGTAAAGTAGAGTTTCAGAGCTTGTTTTTATGCTAATTAAATATTTGGGTTTACTTAAACCAAAAGGTGTAATGCAAAAAATAAGTTCTTCAACGGCCTTTTTTTCATATTAAAATTCCAAAAATGATCTGTAGATTTATTATAAACATGCATTAGATCACAATATTTGGGGACAGTTTCTGTTGATTCAATATCGATGCAATATATTAACGTTAAGTAGAAACAAGAATCGTAACAGGAAAAATAACATGTGTTCCTACCCATATATCAATATCCATTTTGAGCTTTTCTGTTCTCATCGCGTTTGATAAATATTTGGACCAGATATCAATACATATCATTTAAATTCTTAACATATTGATACCACTTCTAATAGCATTAGCGCTAGCACTAATACAATATCGTATCGTTATTTTTTTTCCTTTTTTTTTGTTTTAAGAAATTTGAGTTTTAATTTGCCAGTTCTATTTCATATTTTTTTCTAACTACTTTTTTAAACTCTGCAATAAGTCATGGATGATGAATGGCTCGAGTATACAAATGAAGAATGCTTCGAATATCATGATCCTGATATTGATTACGAGATATTAGATGACAACGAAAGCTACCTTGAAAATGTGTCTGAAATACCAACTCCAAAAACTATAACTGATGAAAGTGTAACAACAGATAACGAATGCATTAATGACATTACTTTTGATAAAAGAGCGCTAAATCATGCAAAAAATTTTGCAGCATCCACTCTTGAAGATTTAGCATTAGAACAAGACGAAAGGGATATTAATTGGTTAACGTTAGATGTTGACTTGCAATCAGAGGTTGGGTCTATGTGGACTTTACCAATGGATGATAGTCATGCAATCGATTATGAAATAGGTGGTGAGGCAGATATTAATCGAAGTAATAATCAATGTGTTATTATTGATTATGTCGAAGGACATTTTCAACGTTGTTTAAATCCTGTATATAGACCAATTAAGCAACTTATGGGGATTTGGGAATTAGATTTTCAGGCTTTAAATATAGCACTCAAAGCAGGGACGGAAAAGACATTAACTAATTTAGGAGTTTGTACCAACCATTTTAATTTCGATCAAAGTAAGCTTCATTTGGCCGGGTCAAAGCATCGCGTCTCAATTGATAAAAGTTGGATTCATAAGCGAAAATGTATGTTTTGCAACTCTGATAAATATTTTTTCAGTCGAGGAGGATGTTGCATCCAGCATTTATGGAAAATATTCGGATGAAATATTTGCATTCCATGTGCAGGATTAAAAGTTTGTCCAGCATTTACTGAGAAGGACCATGAATTTGTCAGATCATTTACAAGTCAAACGCGGTCAAAATTTGTTTGTTCTCACTGTTTTAATAATGAAGGTGGGCATTTTTTTCAACGAAAAGGAAAAGGCTTACCACAATTTTCTTGTACTGAAAAGCATGTAAATGATAATCAACTTTCTCTTCACCTTTTGGGACGATGGATTCAAGAAATGTCGACAGATCAAGATCAGCAACTACAAGCTATACTTTTAGAAGAAGTCTGGTCAGCTATTGTTAAATTTTTAGACAAAAAAACAAGTATATCTAAGGATTCAACAAATAATACAAATGCAAATCAAGTTATACAAATAAATCCGCCAACATATTTCGGAATTAGAGCTGCACTTCGTATGAAGAAAGTAAATTTACGCAGATTAGAAGAAAAAAATCGATATATTGATCTTATAACAAATCAGTCACAGGAACTAGGAGAAGCTTTAGGAACCGTTGTTTGGAGATCAAGATCAGAGGTGCGCGCACAGAGAAGAATACTTGAAACACCAAGTACTTTACAAGAATTTCATAATGGATTTCCTAAACCAATAAGAGAATTATTTGACAATTTTATTATTTTTATTTTGAAAAAAAAATGGGAAGTAGTGCAGAAAAAATGTATACAACGTGGATTTATTCCAGCAGAGTTTAATACTACAAGAGCCATAAAGATATCAATCTTTATATTGTCATTAGTGTTTTCAATGGCGTTTCCAGATATCAATATTTGGTTCTCACATATAATGAGTTCTCTTTGCAGAAAGCCTAAACTATTAAGTTCACTTTATGCAATTTTATGTACTGCAAATGTAGTTTCCCATACGAGTCGTTATGAAAGAAAGTTAGAAAAATTAAGAATCAATAATATTGATATCTTAAAAAAACTTTTATATGGAGATAATATTTGGAATCTATGTATAATAGACAATATTGACATGAAAGAGAGTACATTTACGTATGATAATATTTTTGATACCACAAGACGAACTGCACATGCTACACTTCGAATGGTTTTTCAATTCATATTACTAGAGTCTTTATCTAGTATCGTTGAAAAATGTAATTCAATTTCTGAGTATGAATTTTGGGTTGGAATGTCAAATTTTACAAAGAACGAACTTCAAAAATTTGAAGATATTTTTAATTCTCTTTTGGATTCTAATAGTAGTTTTGATATTTACAAGTTACGACAAGAAATTAAGAAAGATATTCAAATGGGATGCCAAGTACCCTCACCAAATGTAGTTATTCTAGAACCTGGAGAAAATCCATGTTGTGATGAAAATGTTCATAATGCAGCAAAAATGTACTATAATGATGTCGGAATTGATTGCAATGGATATCAATATCTTCATTTAGCATGTGATGAAGCTATCTTCCGACGACTTACAAAGCTTCATGAAACTCAACCAGAAATATGTCTAATACTTGGAGGATGGCATACATCAAAAATAATGTGTACTGCATTACTTCGTATTTTTTCTGGTTACGGAGTTTTTAATTTGGCTGCTATTCTAGGAGTATCTTATCTAGATAAGCTTGAAAAAGTAGTTGATTATATGGCTACATGTCGCGTTTTAGAATTATTATGGATTGCAGTGGGTAATGCTCTTTGTCAATACACGAAAAGCTGATCCATAAAAATGAATGATATTCAAAATAATAATCATAATAATAATAATGTAGTAAAAGTTTGGCACTTGTTTTTTTGTTGGACAAGTCTATGGTTAGGTCATAAACTTGGAATTCGTCATGGAAATTATGATATGCAAATGGAAAATCTTATTTCATTTGCTCCACTCTTTCCGGTAGTAAAACATAGTAATTATGCTCAATCTGTCACATATTTTTTGTCATATATTGGAAAGAATCCTGTTTTGCAACAAATACTTAAATATGTTTCCTCTGTAAATTTAACACGTCCAGGTCATTACTTTGCCTTTGATGAGGCACTTGAAAGATTCGGTGTTAAATTCGTAAAACAGAATATTGGTTCAGTTTTTCGATCGCATGAAGATCTGAAATCAAGAATTATTTTAGTACAAGCTGAGCAAGAGCGGTTAAATTTACTTTTAAGTGAATACGTTAATGAAAGTTCATTAATACCAACTGATCGACCTATAAAATCTCGTGAAGAAGCTCTTCAGAATCTAGTGAATCAATTATTAGAAGCATTCAACCAATCGGATCCTACTCAACACCAACTTTTCAAAGAAACATCTCAAAATAATAATGAAGGATTTCAACGTCTTTTTGAGTGTTATAATATTGAAAAAGATCGATTATAAAGTATTTACAAACAAGACATTGAAAAATCAATAACACGTAATACATCAGGTCGACGCAGTCAAAATGTTATAATTGATACTTTTGCTCAACAACAAAAGCGTCAAAAAGAAAAAAAAATTTAGAAAAAAGAAAAAAATCGAAAGCTTAATAATTTTATATAAGTATCAAATTTATTATACAATATGTTTTTTATTTTTATTATCATTATAATTTTTGCAAAGCAGATATTTAGCATTAATATTTGACATCCCAACAGTCATTTTTTCTTCAATTAGACTAATAAGAATTTTTTAAAAAATTTTGTTAAATATAAATTTAACATTAATGTTAATTAAGTTTTAAAATTAAATAATTAGCATTAGATTTTGAAGACTAATGCTAATTTTATAAACGATTATCATTATTTAGCAAGCAAAATAAATATAAAAAAAAGACTACTTTTAAAGAATCTTTAACAAATAGTTATTTTATAATATGATAAATAAAAATATTTGAGAATAAAAAGCAATATTTTTTTTTATTAGCAATGTATAAAAAATGCCAAATTATCTAGTTTTTATTAGATAATTACAAGTTTATTATTAAATAT